AAAGATAAGCCTAGTGATGCATATCAGGCAAGCCATCAGCTTCAGGATGGTGATGTCATCCTACTGGCAACCGACGGTTTTTTCGATAATGTATTTGCCGAAGAAGCCGTCTCCATTGTAAACAAAGAGCTTCAAGATGTTGCAAGTCGCGATTTCGAAGAACTTCGGTCACACGTGAGAAGACTTTCAAGAAGGTTGACCGATACAGCAAGAAGGTATTCCATGGATCCCAGGAGAGTTAGTCCTTTCTCGCAGAGTGCAAAGAAGAGCGGTGAAAGTCGTACTGGCGGGTAAGCCCTTTAATCTATTATTGTCCACCGATCAGATGTGCTGAAATTCTCCCATGACAATGCTTGATGAACTAATCAACTTTGATTTATGCTATTTATAGTAAAATAGATGACATCACAGTTCTAGTAACCCTTGTCCAGGCAAATTGATGATTTTGCGGTTTAAAAAGGTAAAATCATTAAGGAATTTAAGAGGACTCCAGCTAAAAAAAAAAAAGAAAAAAGCAACCAACCAACCAAAAACCATTATATCCACACATTTATGTAATATCATTGTTTTGCATAAAAAAGCGACAATATTTTAAGTATTTTGGCATCGTTTTTAAGGAAAAAAATTATATTCCAATAAAAGTTGTAGAACATTTATTAAACACCCAATGATGTCCCGGGTACCGACGTAAAATATCCACAAATTATTTGACGTGATAGAAATAGAATAATAGTCAATCTATTAACGTGCTTGACATTCGTTGAACAACTCAATAATGCTAGTATAACGAGATGTTTGGTTAACACAAGTTCAGAAAAGCACCATTTGTTACAAGGGAAAGTCATTCTTGGAGTCCTTCGGTTAGTCTGAATGCTCTAAAATAAAAGTACTATTGCTCTGCGTAATCATGATTTCCTTTATCATACGCACTTGGAAAATTTCACCGCGTGGAAAAAAAATTTTTTTTTTGATAAGAAACGTATTAAAGCTTCTACCAAGACATGCGCCTTTTCCCCTTCTCATTCTTACAAACGCAGGCTTGTTACAACGTCTGTTCACTAACGATCTTGACCAGCGACCGAGAATAGTGACCTCGGATAGCTCCACGTTTTTCCACGAAAAATGGTTCTCGGTGTAAAAAACAAAAAGCACTGTTTATCGCCATATGGTCAGAACACTTGATTACGTATTTCCAATGTTTATAAAACGGTTAGTGGTCGGATGATCATCTCTCATCACA